CCTGGGAACAAATCTTTACTCCTCACACTTCAGATAGAGCCCTAATATCCAGAGTATACAAAGAACTCAAAAAATTAGACAATAAGATAACAAACAACCCAGTCAACAAATGGGCCAAGGACCTGGAAATGGGAAGGGCTTCTTGAGAAGGGTGGGAGAAGGCTCCATGCCTCAGCCAGGACACTGAGGAGCCTCACCTCAGGCTCCCTTACGACCAGTGCCAAAGCAGTCCTTTCAGGGTGCTGCTAGCTGCACGGTGACTCTGCGGCGGGGACAGCGTAACTGAGTGTGGTACAGTACAGAGCCGGCAGGACACTGCATTCACTGGCACAGAAAGGGGCTGGGCATGGGCGGGTCTGGGAAGGGAGATCTGGTAATGCAGTGCCCTGGCCGTTCTTCACAAGGCTGGCTTCCTGTGACATCCCCTCAGTGCTCCTGTCCTGTGCCTGGAGACATCCTGTGACACTGGGGAAGCACTGTCACTGGCTTCCCTGGTGTTGGTCCTCCTGTCCTCTCCTTCTCTCTCTAGCTCTTTTGTAGTCTTTCTTTTTTGTCAGATTTTTCCGCCTGTTCTTGAACATGGTAATCCTCAGGATTTTGTCGAAGCCCCCTTCTTGCTTTTCTGGCTCTCCGCAGGCACCCCATCCATGCCAGTGTCTTTGCTCTCCATTGTTACCTCCCGATTTTCCATCTCAGCCCTACCTTAGTTCCTGAGCCATGCAGACCCTGTCTGTTGGGTGCCCTGCAGACGACTAAATTCACTGTATCCCAGAAGAACTGGTCTCCTCCTCTGCCCACTTCCCTGTTCCTACTCAAACACAGCTCATGCTGGTGACCTGCATGCTTTCCTTTGCCCTGTCTCCCATGAGCCCCGTGGCTGAGTCTTGGAATCTGAGACATTCTGCATCCTCAACACCTTCCCAGAGCACTCCACTTTGCTTCTTCTTGCTTCATTTGCCTTAAAGCAGAGAGTGGTCTCTGGCTCCCAGATTTCTTCGACCACAGCTCAATCCTCCCCCTGGATTCACCTCCCCTGCCTGCACACTAGTCTCCATACCTGAGCTTGTGATCCTCAAGTGCAAATGCCTGGTCCTGTTGCTTCCTGCGTCAGACTCC